GAGCGTAAACTCCCATGCTCGAGCGTGGATATAAATTCTGGAATTTCCAAATTTGATCACCAAGCTCAAAACTCGAATTCAATCTTCCAAAGCACATCTCTTGGGCCCCAAAACTTGAGATAACATAGTAAACTTGTAAAACATAAAGAATTTAGGATCATTTCATAAAATCATGGCCCAAGGTTTGTTAAAAGTTCACAATTTCAACTTGAAAGTCAAGAAACAAAACATGCATGTAAAATCTTTTGTTCAAACTTCATGAAACTAGTAAATTGAGCTCAAAGGCTCCATGCATGAGGGAAATCCTTTTCAAAACATGGATTTAAGCTTTAAAATATGATGACTTACACATACATGTGCCAAATAACTCATGATAACAACATACATGCCCAAAATCAAACTTAACATGTCAAAAACTCCATGTATTCATGCATGCATGTGGATTTCTCTTCCAAATTCTCTTTCAAGACTTCAAAAACATGGGATTGGCTTACAAGACTTGATGAAATATGCATGCATGTACCATTCAACCTCCATTTCCAACACAATTGATGTAATTCAAAGCTAACTTGGTAATTTAATACCTAGAAGAGCATGCATGTATGAATTGTAATTCAAATCTTCATCCTAGGCTCAATATACACATTTAAACTCACAATCTACATGTTAATAACTTAGATTCATAAATTTAGGAGTTGAATTTATACTTATAGTCTTGAATTAGTCTAGCTCTTGCACAAAATTGATGAACTCAATTAAAATCTTCAACTTCTTCATTTAATCTCTCCTTCTCTCTCTCTAGAATTGCACTCTCTCTCTCTCTTTAAGAAGAAATTCCGGATTTTTCCACTCAAGGGAAATGAAAGGAAATGAGCTCAAAAGAGCTAAATGTGATGCATATATAGTTATGATGATATAATGCATTAATTGGGACAATAGGGTAACCAAACACGGCCTAATTAATCAGACTGAATCAAATTTTAATAAAATTTGCCATATGGTTCTAAAAATTCTAAATAACATATCGGTGTAGTCAATTTCGTTTTCGGATGTCGATAAGGCTTTCAATTTACATATTAAAGTGGAAAATCCAAACAGATATTTCTACAGGCAATAGATAGAAAGCCAAATATCATGCAAAATACCGAATAAACACATAATTTATTTTAATCCTCTCATTAGCATCATTAATTACGGATTAGTAGCTAATTACGGGTCGGGGTTATTACAAAGTACCTAAACAACGGCATGAAAAATTTGATCATGCTATGCTTACTACTGAGTTTAGATAAACGAATGTGACAAGTGCGTCTATGTTAAAAATACTGACAAAGGTTATGTCATTGTTTGTCTTTATGTGGAGGAGATATGTTTATCATTGGAAGCAGTCAAAATATGATCAAGTCAACTAAGCAAATGCTGAACAAAAGATTTGATATGAAAGATATGGAGGTCGCAAATGTAATATTAGGAATGAAAATTACTAAAACATCTGATGGATATGCATTATCTCAATCACATTATATTAAGAAAATTCTTGTTAAATATATCAATGATGATATGAATATAGCAAGAACACCTGTAGACATCATCTTTATTTATCAAAAAATAAAGGTAATGTTGTGTTTCAACTAAAATACTCCAAATTCATTAGAAGCCTAATGTACCTAATGAATTGCACTCGTCCTGATATAGCTTATTCTGTCAGTAAATTGGGTATGTACACTAGTAATCCCAAAAAAGACCATTGGAAAGCGATTATTTGGGTTCTTAGATATCTAAGATTTACCTGTGATCATGGTTTAAACTTTACGCGATATTCTGCAGTACTAGAAGGTTATTGTGATGCCAATTGGATATCAGATACAGTGATATGTCTTTACTCTGGGAGGAGCTGTTGTTTCTTGGAAGTCCATGAAACAAACATGCATTGCACGATCCACAATGGAATTTGAGTTCATTGCTTTAGACAAAGTAGGAGAAGAAGTAGAATGGCTTCACCATTTGTTAGAAGACATTCCAATGTGGCCAAAACCTGTGCCAGCTATTTGCATTCATTGTAATAGTCAATCTGCAATAGGCAAGGCATAGAGTCATATGTATAATGGTAAGTCACGACATATTCGTCGTCGACATAATACCGTAAGGCAATTGCGCTCAAATGGAATAATCTCAATAGATTATATAAAATTTAAAGAGAATATTGTGAATCCGTTAACAAAAGGTTTGACTAAAGAGCAAGTATATAATTTATCAAAGGGGATGGGATTAAAACCTATTACATAAGAGTAATCATAATGATAACCCTACTTAAATGACTGGAGATACCAAGAACTAAGTTCAAAGGGATAACTAAGTTATGTGTGGCTCGCCAGAAATTACCAAGGGATTAAAATTCTCTACTCATTCCTATGGTGAGAGTGATATCTGCAACATATGTTGTATGTAGAGGTTTAAGGATAAACTTTGCTTTTAATGATTACTTATATCTTAATTTAGGCATAAAAATCAAGACGAGTATAAGAGATATTCACAATAAGAATCATCTATATGAGTGTTGAACTGGGACTGGTTCTATGAGAATGGAGAGGCTAAATTCTCTAGAAACACTCATGAACAACCAGGAGCGTTCAAGGCCAAAATGAACATAATCGTGAGAACCACGATACGTCAGAAGATATTTTATGTAAAATCTATTATCTTGGCATACACAAACGACTAAACAATTCAAGTCATCGTGCCTATTGGTTAGCTAGTAAGTCCGATAGGTTATCACTAGGGAAAGTTCAAGGCCGAAAGCTACCTATCCTGATACAAGATATTTTCGATTTATATTCTTTCGACAAATTCTGTATATTGTTGCATTTCCGTTGTTATTAAATTCCATTCATATAGGGGATTGTAAGAAATGGTTTTGCAAAAAAAAAAATAGAATTTTTCCTCAACTTTGATCTAATTTTTAGGTGGGATCCATGCGCCAAAGTTGGCCGGTTTAAGTGGTAACGCGTTCTATGCCGCGTTGTGATTCACATAGTATATTTGATTGCTCAAAATCATTATCGGGTAAATGAAAAATTAAAACCAAAGTGAGCTCTATGGAAATGATATTTTGGTAAAATTTCCATTAAGGTTAGAGTTAAACTTGTCCTACATTGGTTTGGTGGGCAAAATTTTGTGGATTTATAAAGCTTGGGTTTGCAACTTAGGGAGGGCCCCAAGGGGTACCCAAGTTTTGTGGAAGGGTGAGGTTATGAGTAAAGTGGGCTAGACCCATTGGACCCAAAATAAACATACGCGCGCGCCGTCATCTTCCGTCTGGTCGGTCGGGCGGTCTGGGCACAGGCACTGGTGCGTGGTGTGAGGTCCAATGCTTATCTTTTTGGGCCAAAAACTTTTTGAATTTTAATTTTCTAAAATTAAATTCTTATCGTTTTTTGGAATTTGAATTTCGAAATTAATTCCAAATAATATCTAGATTATTCCTCCACCCAAACAGGTCCATATCTGTCCAATTAAACTGAACAGATTCAATATCTGTTCGAAATTTAAACCCAATAAGTTCCTTACCTGTTCATTCATACCGAACAGGTATTATACCTATACAAACAGGATTGCACCTGTTTAATTCAAACCGAACAACCACAAATTCTCCTATAAATAGACAAACCCTCATTTGGATTTTGCACTCTAATTTTCGTTCTTGTTGCTGTTATTGCTCTCTCCATTTTGCTATATTAATTTTTCCTGTGAGAAAGTGTATAAACACAAAGTATGTTTGTTGTGCAAACAGTTTGTAGTGCTGCTACTGTTTGTTGTTGATCATTTTATCCTGGGAGATAGATGTCTACAATCTGAAAGCACTGTGGAGATGATGAATATGTCTTAAAGACACAGTGTTAAACACTAGACTTGATCAGAATTTTGTTCAATAAATATATAAGGTTAGTAATTAATTTTCTTTCTTTTTATTTATTTATTTTTATCAGATTCTGATTTTATTTTTGTAACAAAATAAGAATCTATTATTTTATTTTATTTTCTTTACTGGTTTGATTTTTGTAATCAAACAGTCTCTCTCATTTTTTTATTCTTTCTATTTGTTGTTAAGTAGACAAATATTATTTATTCTTAATACAATAAAAATTTTCCAACACTGACATCACAATTAATCTTGAACTGCCCTTGAGGAGGCGGGATCCATCTCAGAAATACCACCGGCCCCTCCGTTATCATGGTCTTGTTGGTTCTATTTTAGCTGGGTTTTGGAAGGTTTTCTATTTTTGTCTATTGGTGTCACTACAAGAAATATAGAATTTAGCGGCGTTTATTTAGCGACGTTTTTTTAAACACCACTATTTCTAACCTTTAACGACGTTTTATAAACGTCACATTTTATATTGATTAAAACGGTACCGTTTAAGGAATAGAAGTCGTTTTTTAAACGCCTTCACGTGTTACAATAGTATTCCTCCCCCTCTCTCTTTAGCTCTGTGAGAATCAGAACCCTTCTCTCTCTCTCTCTCTCTCTCTCTCTCAACGCCTTCACGTGTTACAATAGTATTCCTCCCCCCTCTCTTTAGCTCTGTGAGAATCAAAACCTCTCTCTCTCTCTCTGCGCCCTCATTTAGAATCTGGGAAACATTCAGAGTCTTAGAGATTACGATTCAGAACCCTTCTCGCTCTCTCTCTAAACCCTTCAGTCTCAGAGATTATGATTCAACCTTCTTCAGTTCGGTTTCATCTCAGATCCAGTCTCAGAGTGATTTCGAGTTCGAAGTTCTCTCTTTCTCGATTTCGAAGCTCCACCGCCACCACCATCTGCATCGTTGACTAAGGTGAGCACACCGTCTACAATCTCAGTTTCGTATTCTCTCTCTCTCTCTCTCTCAAGCTCTTCGTTCGATCGATTCTTCTCCTAGGGTTTACATATGCTTAAGATTTCAGATCTGAGTTTTCTCATTCAAAAATATATGTTTGAGATCTGAGATTTCTCATTCAAAAATATGTTTGAGGTTTTGAAATTTCTTACTCTAGTTTTGTTCTTTTGATTGACTCAAAGCTAGATGATGATGTGGGAAATGTTGAAATGGAACTTTTCTTACTTTCGAAGTTTGTGAAATCTTCGGTTTCTTCATGTAGCGAAATACATCTAGATGCAGAACAGGTTCAAGCATAAGTTTAAAATAATTTGGGTTCTGTTTTACGTAGATTTTATATATGGCCAGTGGCCACCAAGAATTTGTTTCTTAGCTTATCGACAAAACAGAAGGAAACAAATGAAAATTTTGTGGATTTTACTGGTATTTTTGGGTGGAATGGAAATAATGATTGTAAAGTATTATTCCAAAATTTTCATCTTATTGGCAATTGAATCGGTATTATTTTGGAACAGAGCAATCATATCGTGGCACTAAAGGTGCTTTTCAAGAGCCAGCTGAAACAGTCTCAGGTTGAACATCAGCTTCGTCGTGAAGTTGAAATCCAAAGTCATCTCAGACACCCTAATATTTTACGCCTTTATGGATACTTCTATGATCAGGTATAGTTCATCTAGATTATCAAATTTCACAGCTTTTCCATGTAGTTAATCTGTTAACTTTTGTAGCCAACTGACTAATTACCCTTTTTTTCAACACAATTGTTGCAGAAACGAGTTTATTTGATATTGGAATATGCCGCCAAGGGTGAGCTGTACAAGGAGCTACAGAAGTGTAAATACTTTAGTGAAAGACGCTCTGCAACTGTGAGTTTCGACACTATGGTTTTCTTTGTTTGTTTATCTTCCATTTGGCTTGTCATTCTTATTACATATTATGTTTCGGAACCTTCCAACTGTGAGTAAATTTATAATTTTTTCCACAACTTGCATCATGAATTTAAGGGATACACTTCGATGCATTATTTTAATAAACATCAATTATTAGTTTGACAGGTATTTTTTTTTTTTTTTGTTCAACCATGTAAAATTAAAAAAAGGCTATGGCGGCGTTTGAAAAACGTCACTATATCCCACCCCAACGGGTAGATTTTAAAAATGTATAAATGTCTATGGCGGCGTTTCAAAAACGTCGCTAAATGTCATAGTTACAGTTAGTAAGACATTTACCGGCGTTTTGAAAACGCCGCCTATACTAATATAACGACGTTTTTCAAACGTCATAAAGTTATAGCGACGGCCGCGTCATCGGCGTTTGGTACTAAACGTCATAAAAAGAATTAGCGACGTTTTTAATACTTTTAGCGATGTTTTTTAAACACCGCTAAAAGTGAATTTTCCAGCAGTGTGTACCTAATCAATTTGGTTTATGTTTTATCTTGTGTTGAGTGGCATATGCTCTAAAGATAGCTTGTTGCTTTTTTCAGCTGGCATGGTTGTTTGGTGCACTAAATAAGTACTTTTTTTATCTTTTTATATTTTTTACGTCAGATCACCTCTCTATTTTTCTGTATATTTTCATAAAAAATTAAAAAATATACTAATTTAGAATAACCGAAAGGCTAATCTATTTCTCAAACAGAACCGACATCTTTGTTATATGCACTCATTTTCACTGTGTATTGTTTTATTATTTGAAATATATATATTATTTTTTATCAATCAAAAAAACAAAGGCCAACCGCGTCCCAAAAAATTAAACAATTTCCCACATCATATTTAGTAATTAATAAGAAAGTTCGCATCCAATAGAAGTTTGCAGTCCCAAATTTATGGGGTTGAACCCTCAAATTAATCATAATGATAAACTTTAAAAATTAATTTTCTAATTGAATTTTATCAAATATTAATCACTTTAATCTTGTTTATTTTTACCTTGGGGTATACTTTTTAATAGCTAAAGTATTGTAAATATAACGGTGCTGTTTGGGAAGAAAGGGTTGAGGTTATTATAGCCTCAAATTACAAATAAGCCAAAAAGCTCCACTGTTTAAAGTTTTTCAAAAAAAAAAAAAAAAAAAAGGCTGCAGCAGGCTGCAGCTGCCGGCAGTGTAGGCATAGCCTACACTGTCAATTGACAAATTGTTACATCAATTGGTAAATTACGATTTTGCCCTTTTATATCAATTTAAAAAATTGTAATCTTAAGGACAAATTTGTCATTTTAACTTCAAATATCATTTCAATACATTTTTCAATACAACAACTCAAATAAAAATCCATCTCATCTTCCTAAACACAAAAACTAAAATAGTCAAAAAGTCTTTAAAATAGCCACTTCCCAAACGAGGCCAATATATACTATCCTGTGTTGCTTCTATTCTTGTATTTAAAATTAAATTCAAAGTTTTTACTTAAAGAGTGATATCATTTTGATTAGCTCAACGACTTCGCCTGCCTTTACTTCACTTTGCTTGACAATACTATAATTTTAAAAAGGCATTTCATTAATCAAACAAAAAAGACAACTTCTCCGGTAGAATTTATTAGAATATTTCTATTAAGAAGAACATCTCTAGTTGCAATTTTGCCTGAAACAACTCTCTAACAAAAGATTTCTATCTGAAAGGAACACCAGTCTTTTTCAAATTTTAACATAAGGGACAATATGAGAATTTGAATTTTCATTGCCTTTATTTTATACCTTTCTTGCTTTTGTCTTGTGTTTTGAAATTTAAATTTTTACTTATATAATAATAATATTTATTTTGTAATAGTACAAATTGGAATTAAAATTTTCAATTTTCAATTAGAGTCTTGTACTTTGGTCTCCTAAAGTCATAGTATTGGGTCAGTTCTTGCCACCATTGCCATCATTACTATCGTCATTTAAACTAGCTACCACCACCTCTACCATTATCATAAACAAATATTTAGATAAAAATTCACTAAAACAAATGGGATAATCGGGTTAATTTGTCTAAATTATATCCAATTCAACCCTGCTACTTAAACCAATTTATTAGATGGGAAAGTTAGAATTAAATTGTTTTGGATATATAACCCATTTTGACCGGCTAAAACTTGTTCATTTGCCGACTCTAGTTTGGCTTAAGCAAGTTGGATGTCAGAAATAAAATTCATTGTTTTGAAAGAATAAAAAAATATGTAGTAATATTCACTTTTCATACAGATATCTACATAAAATCGTTCTAGTAATAGCAGTAGCGTAAAAGCCACAATCCTCCCAAACTTTTTAATTTAAATTTTAATTAAATCTCTCAAATTTCATAAAAATCTTTTTATTCTCATAATTTTTGAGTATTTGTCCAAACAAAAACAAAAAAAAAAAATAGTACTTCAACCAACAAAATTTGTTTGGTTTCAATTTTAGAATTAGTTTTTTGAAAAAATAGAAATTAGTTTGCCAAAAATAAACACAATTTTTTTTTTTTTATAAAAACAGTTTTCGTTTACAAAAATGTAAAATTATATAACAACTTATGAATTTTTTTATTTATTATTTGTTTACTAAATTAATTTTTAATTTTTTTTTTCAAAATATAGATTCTGAAAATCAAACCAAACAAATTCATATAATCCAATTTTGATTTATTCAAAATTTAAATAATTTTATATTAACCTCAATTTAGGAAAATAGAAATAATTTTTTGAATTTGCTCCCGAACCAAGTGTCACTCCATTGGTCGGGTAGAATAAGATGTGTGTGGAGCCCCACGTCACGTGTAGTACATGGTGCTATGACAGCTGCTTTTCGTAAAAAGGTAGAATTGTTTAATCGTACTAGTGATGTCACCTGAAAACCTACTAAACAAACATTTATGTTTGTTGAGAAATTATTCTTAAACTCTGGACGTCTTTAATTTAATTGACTCCACAAAAATTATACAATAATCACAACTACCATAGGTTCCCTTTGAGAGGAAGTTTTGCTATAAATAGGTCATTAATCTTCTTCTGAGAACCACCAACATAAGAAAGAAGCAAGAGATAGAGTTGAGAACCACCAACATAAGCAGTAGAGAGAGAGAGAGAGAGAGATGGAAGTGATTCAAGTACTTCACATGAATGGAGGAATTGGAGAAACAAGTTATGCAAGCAACTCATTAGTTCAGGTATATATCCAACCATTGTCATCAAGTGATAGCTTCCACATATCATGTTGATTTTCATGTGATAGAAATTCTATGCACATGCAAGTAGTGATATGGCTAAGTAACTAAGTTCTCTAAAAATAGAAATAAAATAAAATAAAATGTCAGACTCAAGATTTTTTTTTTTTTTTTAAAAAAAATATTTGTCACTCAAAAAATCAAGGGGGATTACGTCTCTTGCATTTCTTTGCTTTTTTATTTTTTTTTTATTTTTTTTCACATCACAATTCGTGTTTCCTATATTATTGTGTAAGAGAAAAGTTAATTGCCTTAAAATAGAACAAAAAATTTTTTATAAAAAATATATTGTATGATTAAGATTTATTATGAGTTTAGTTTGTACCACGTACACTCGGAAACAAATCCACTGTACACATGCATTTTTCATATTTTAATTATGTACAAAATATATATATATATATATATATATGTTCTTATAGGGTGATAGCCCACAAAAATAATTTGTATATTTTTTTTATATAGAAAATAAGATGGCTCATTTGTAGCCATTCATATGACTTTTTTCCTTGTTCTCAAACATATCACGTGTTTCACACTTTATACAAACAAATCTTTTCTATATAACTCTTATATAAGATAAAATGATATAGTGTTGAAAGTGCTATACAAAGAAAAATTATGTAGAATGATGTGACAAATTTTGATTTTGTTTTAAAATGTCATTCTCAATTTCAGAACATTTTGACAAAATTATATAAAATTACATTGTAATATAGTTTTTTTTACAAAATATGATTGTTACATCATTCTTGATAATTTTATTATTATTATTTCTCTTTGGTAAAAAAATATGTGTGTGAATCATTTTCTTATTAGATATTTTCACCATTAATATTGATTTGGGACATTGTGATTTTTGCAGAAAAAGGTACTATCATTGACAAAACCGATAACAAAGGAAGCCATAGTGGATCTCTACTGCAGCACCAACCCTATGACTCTATGCATTGCAGACTTGGGTTGCTCTTCTGGACCAAACACTTTCTTAGTGGTCTCCGAACTTATGGAGACAGTCCACAATACTTGCCAAAAATTGGGGCATCAAACCCCTGAATTTCAAGTGTACTTGAATGACCTCCCAGGGAATGATTTTAACACTATTTTCAAGTGCTTGCCAAGCTTCCATGAGAAGATGAGGAATCAAATGGGGCTAGGGCTTGGGCCATGTTTTGTCACCGGAGTCCCCGGTTCATTCTATGCTAGGCTTTTTCCCACCAAAAGTCTGCATTTTGTCCACTCTTCTTACAGTCTCATGTGGCTCTCTCAGGTATTTTGGTAGTGCTTTTTTTTTTTTTTTTTTTTTTTTTTTTTTTTTTTTTTTTTTTGCGCGCGCGCGCGTGCTGGTTTAAGAGGATTCAGATAAAAAGTCTAGTCTTTGAAAGAAATAAAAATATTTAAATGACAGAAATAGTGCTACTCATTTCATCAACTATGCCAAAAACCCAATAGCAAATTTGATTCTATAATATTTGTGAAATAAGTGCATATCACATTTTAAAAATCTTAAGTTGCCTACGGGCATTTAACTTTAACGAAAATGTCGTATATAAACACTTTGTTATAAATTGTTTTTTTAATCATTAAAAACAAAACAATGAGTTTATTGTGTCTGCCCCACTGATTTTTTGTCTGGTGTGATCTGTGGCATGAAGTATTTTCTTATTCAAAATTTGTTGACTTTAAAGAAATTATATTTCAGTAATTAAATAAATAATTAAGTTCACGTGTCTTGTTGTACTTCTTTGCCAATAACATTTAGCCGACCAAAAACATAATAATAATAATAATTGAGTTCACATTGGAATTAAGGTTGTATGTAAAGGCAAGTTGTCCATTTCATGAGCAGGTACCAGATGGGCTAGAGAATAATAACAAAGGAAACATTTACATGGCAATTAGTAGCCCAAAAGAGGTGCTTAAAGCTTACTATCATCAATTTCAAATAGATTTCTCAGAGTTTCTGAAGTGTCGTTCAGAGGAATTGGTGAGCGGAGGACGTATGGTTTTAACCATTTTGGGGAGGGAAAGTGATGATCCTTCAAGCAAAGAGTGTTGTTACATTTGGGAGCTTCTAGCAATGGCTCTCAATCAAATGGTTTCAGAGGTAATTAATTAATTTATTATTATTATTATTATTATTATTATTATTATATTCTATTGGTAAATGAGTAATATACGAATCATGAAAAAAATATCATGAAAATAATCATGAAAGATTCTTCACCTTTGGATTACACTTAGAATAAAACACCACACACCTAGAATAAAACATCATGATGCATTTCATGAAATTTTTTTCATGACTCCTAGTATTATTCTTGGTGAATATATCATTAGTTATAAGATCCTAAAATAGAAATTGTAAGTAGGTATTATTTGTTGCCTAACTACATAATAAATGTGAGTCAGCATATGTTACTTTTGAAATTGTCCGCTACATAATTGGTTCAGAGTACTAGGTAGACAATGTCAACAGTGTGTTTCGGGACTGTTGAATAATTATCTCCTAAAACATCATTCCTAAATTTACTTTCGTTGACATGAATTGTTGTTTTTAATTTATTTAGAAATCAATCAATTAAAATTAATCACTATGGACAAAAACAATCAAGGGACCATTTAAATATAAATTTTTTATTTGGATTAAATTAATATAATGAAATATTAAAATTCAAAATGATATAAACGTATAATTTTAAAATTGACAGTGTATTTAAGGCTTCTTTTGACTGGGCATATAAGCTGGCATACAAATCTTTTTGATAAAAAAAAATTCTAAGCCATTTGGCATACACATATTCTGTTAAAAAGTCAATTTGTACACTTAAAAAGTTCTTTGAAAAGCAAAACGAAAATTAAGAATATATCAAACAAATTAGTTTATTAAACCAAAAAATTATTAATAAATTTATTTTAAATCAATAACTAATTTAAATCTTTAGTGGAAAAAGAAGTGTAACCCAATATTACAATGTATATGTGGGTTTGTTTGTAAATTAATACTCATGACCTAGGTAAGTTTGGCAATAGATTATTTTGGAAAAATAAAATAAAAAATTAATTATTGTCTTTATTTTTAACACATCTTTTTATAATTTTTTTTTAAAAGAATCACTATTTCCTCCGTCTCAAAATATTAGTCCTTTATTCCACTTTTTATTATCCTAAAATATTAGTCTATTTTTAAAAATTAAGGAATAACATATTATGAATTTACTGTTTTATTCTTTTTTTAAATTCATTAATAACACAAAAAGTATAATTATGACAATTGATACTTTTTAAAGAATACATTATTAAAAGATAATTTTTAAAAAATAACATTTTTAAAATATAATAATTATATTATAAAAAAATAAATTTATTAAAAAATTATTATTTTGAGACGGAGAGAATAATTTACTCCGACACAGGGTAGGCCTTTGGTTTTTTTTTGCTAAAAAGACCTTTTGCAATCTTACTTTGGCACAATGACTAGATTTTGGTATTGAATTGTTTATGACATTTACAACCACTACAACAAAAAACACTATTGGCGACTAAAATGGGAATTTTCGTCGCTGAAAGTCATGGAATTGGCGACTAAAATGGAATTAGTCGCCAAAATTGGTCACTTTTGCCGACTAAAAGACTTTAGTCGCCGAATGTAATGGTTTTAGCGACTAAAAGGCAGTTTAGTCGCCAAATATAGGGGTTTTAGCGACAAAAATATTTTTAGTAGCCAAAGGTTAGGGTTTTTGGCGACTAAAACCATTTGGTAGCCAAACGTTAAGGTTTTGGCGACTAAAAACCACTTTGGTCGCTGATTGTACCTGTTTTGGCGACTAAAAACAGTTTCGTCGCTGAAGGTCAAGCTTTTTGGCTACTAAAAAAAAATTAGTAGCTAAAAACAGGTTTATGGCGACTAAAATTCACTTTAGTAGCCAAAGGGGGAGGTTTTTGGCGACCAAAAACAAGTTTAGTCGCCAAAAGGGTAGGTTTTTAGGCGGAATGGTTTTCTTTAGCGACGGAAAATTAATTAGTAGCCCAAAAATAATACAATTGGCGACTAAATAATTTTTTTAGTCGCCAAAAGTGATCTAAAATTTTTTTAATAAATAATTTATTTTTTACATAAATTATATTTAATAAAAATAATTATGTTTATACATATACTTTTATATTAATACGGGTCAATATACTATATAGATAATATATGTTGCATATATAATCATATGGTGTTGTAGAAGTGTAGTGGAGAGAGTGTGTTGCCTAAGGTCTAGGGTGTGGTGGGAGGTTGGTGATTCGAATTTCAGCGGATGAAAGCTAGTGAGCATATTTTTTCTTTATTTCACGGATGGGCTTTTGGCGACTAAAAGGTTTGGTCGGCGATTCCTTGACTATTGGCGACTAAAAGATTAGTCAGTAAATGTATAATTTAAAAAAATTTAATTGACTATTGGCGACCAAAGTTTTGGCCGCTAAAGGCCTGCTTTTTGCCGACTAAAATTTTTTTAGTCGCCAATACCTTCCCTGACCGTCTTTTCGCGACAAAACTGGCGACTAAACAATTTAGTCGGGGAAACTAAAAAGTCGACTTTTGGCGACTAAAAATTTAGTCGCTAAAAGTGCTTTTTCTTGTAGTGAAAATAATATATTTTTCCTTCAATTAAATATTTTTTGAAATAATCATATTTCTCAGAGCATGCTGTTCCTTCCATGGCATCACCCTTTGAAAAAGGTAATAAGTACACATTTTTAACATAATATAAAAAATATATATATATTTAACAATTATCTCATGATAAGAGTTGCAAATACCTGCCCATCAACAAAAATCATTCTGAATGTCATATTTCTCCCAAGACGATTAGTCATAGATAACAACCTGACTAATTGAGCTTTAATGCTCCAATTACTTGCATATGGATGTAAATCAACAAAATAGAGATATCTGATAATTCTATCGCCTATTAATGTGATTATTACATATGTAATGAGACAATGCATATTTAAATTATAGGGGTTGGCATTATTTTTTTAAACAAAATTATTACAAAATAATTCTTACCTTGTTGTGGAACAATGTTATCATTTATTGTCATTGAGGGTTGTAACACATCTCCATGCAATTGAACACCCTTAGTTATGGGATTTATGACTATTTCATCATAAAAAATCATTGAAAAATAATTAAATATCTCAAAATAAACTTATGTGAAATAATACAATGAGAATAGTAGTGGGATAAGTATAAATTATGAGTCATGAATAACATAATAGGTTGTTCTTACCTTGTTGTGGAAGAATATTAATATTTGTTGTCATTGTGACCTCTAAGACATCTCCATGCAATTGAATGTCATTAGACATGAGGGGCATGATTATTCCATCATCTAAAATTTAGTTGAGAAATGATTAAATTAAAAATTAATATTTAATTTAAAGGTTCGTGAATATTAATTATTGGCAATTATAATTTTAAAAATTATAATTAAAAATATTAATATATGTATATATATATTAGTGTTTACCTTATGGTAGGATAATCTTATTATTCACCACCCTTGTAACTTCCGAAATATTTTTATGTATGTGAACACCCTCAGATATTGAGAACACAACAATTCCTTTATTTGAATTTGTATGAATAAAATATTTAGTGTCAAATCATTTATTATTTGAAGTTATGATAATATTGTCAAATAAATCATAATTCTAAAATTAATACAAATAATAATTATTACTTTATTCTTCTGTGACAACATTATTATTCGCTATTATAGTTTCCTGTAATAAATCTCCATAATGCCGTCCAAATTTTGAGACATGACTATCCCGTCATCTAATTGGATAAAAAAATAAACAATATAAGTATCGGAAATTATAATTTTAAAAAATCATAAGTATAAAATCTATATATATGTTAGTGTTTACCTTATTGTAGGATAATATTATTATTCATTACCATTGCGACTTCTGAAGTATCGTTATGTATCTAAACACCCTCAGATATCGGGAATATAACAATTCCTTTATTTAGATTTACATGAATAAAATAATTAGTATAAAATCATTACTTTTTTGAAGTTATAAGAATATTGTTAAATAAATCATAATTGTAAAATTAATATAAATAATATTTCGTACCTTCTTTCCTCAGTTTTGGGAGGCATGACTATTGTATCATATAATTTTCATGAAAAATATAAACAATATAACTATTAGCATTCATTATGAAAGTAGCAGATATTAGTATTTACAAGTTATAATATAAAAGAATCATAATTAAAAAATATTATTACTTGAGGTTCTTACTATTTTTTACATTAGTATTATTTGTCAATGTAGTGACTCTTGAAACGTTTTGGTAGAAGTGAACACCCTCTGAT